AACATTCATAGTTTAGTAATATCCAAAATGACTTTTAAGAAGTAATAAAAACATATCCAACAAAATATTGATTTTCGTAAAACAAAAAGGTCAACATCTCTCCCTAACAAATATATCCCTATTTTCTATCTTGAGAATTTGTTGGAGAATGATTAGGGACATTAATTGGTTGTGCACTTCCTTGGTCAGATACCTATAATTAAATATAAAACTTAGTTAGAAATATAAAGTATATTTTAAAATATTTATAAAATTAATTCAAATTTAAAATATTACCGGTGAAGATTGAAATACAGGCAAGTCAGGAAGCCTTTGCCTTGATAATTCTGTGCAAAAAAATTCATCATTGTCTCAAATCTTTTATTTTGTTCCTCTATTTTCTGATTTTGTTCAGCCATTTGTGATTTCAATTCAATAACCTGTTTCAAAAGAAAAATCAACACAAATAAAAACATAAGTAGAAATGAAAATCATACCAATATTAAACGTGACATTTTATTTGTTTTCTTCAAAACTTTAAACCACAATAATGTTTTAATTATACAGATAGTTGACAACATGAAAAAAAGTCTCATAAATTCCAACAAGATCACCAAAGTATACCTAAAATATTACAAACTTTGTTAAAATTGACTTCAAATTAGATCTACAATGAAAAATTCTTATTATACAAATATTACCTTTTTAGGAATCAAAAGAAGCTAAAGCACAACTTGGGAACAATAAATTAGGTGATTATCAAGGAGCACAACACAATCAATGATGTTTATCTAGATATTATTTCAAGAAGAAAGACAAATATGAAATTAGAAAGCAAGAATTATAGAATGGGACATAAAACTAATCTTTATTTTAATGAATAACATCTAATTAGTTAATGATAAATGATTTATGCAAGTAGGTACCATTCAATATTCTAATTTTTTGAGATCCAAAGAAGCTAAAACAACAATTTAAAGGAGTTAAAACCTAACATTGAAATTCTAAAGGAAATTGTAGCATACTACTAACCTCATTTTGTAACTCTCTACAAGAAGGAGAAAATGAGGATATCCCACTATATGAGCGTACAGTGTGTCCAAACACACGGGATGGGCAAGGTCCTAATCCTAATCCTCGAACACGTCCACAATGTTCTTGACTTCCTAAAGTTTGAGCTAAGGAATCTTGACTTGATATGTCTTTTGAAATGCTTCCACTCAATTCATATGATTCAATTTTTTCCTACATAAAACACAAAGAAACATGTTAAGTTAACCTCAAAAAAATATTGAGCATTTTTAGCATTAATATAGTTGAACTTACTCCAATTTCTTTGGCTTCATCATTCACGAATTCCCCATTAGCATGTTTATGTGTTGCTATCCATATTTCTCCCCTACTAACTTTGCGGCCACACTCTAATTCCTACAAAATCCAAAAAAAAACAAGAATTATATTTAAAAAAGAGAAAGTATTATTTCATTATTAAAAATTAAGAAGCATATGCTTACCATCTTTTGCTTCTTGCGTGCAATGCTCATGGAACCACCTGTGTGGGGAATTGTTTGCTTTTTTCTATTCTCTTTATTTTTTTGGGCTTTTTCCTAATATTTGACATAAAAACAATTTGTAAATACAAGTAAAAATCAAACATAAATTAAAATTTAATTTTACCTTAGTTTTTGAATCTAAACGATAGTCTACAAAAGATGCCCATTGATCTTTATTTAATCCTTCTGGGACCATTGCAATCAATTGATCTCTATTATGAGTTCCATCATCCCTTTGTTGCCACAATTCTTAACGATGCTCTCTCTATTTTATGTTAAGTGATTTGAAGATATAAGCCACGTGAAGATCATGCTCAACTTCAAACTTAGCCTTCAAAGTATGCGACGATCAAAGTTAGAGACAATTTGTAGCACAATTGAATATATAATGTAAGTAAAATGCATAACCACTTACTTGAATGATGTCCTTAAGTACATTTTGCTTGTAGTCTTTAGGAATCTTCTTCCAACTAGTATAACTGATAGGGAATACATCAGAGTCTCTTGCAAGGTGACCTAAGAACCTATTTAACAATGCTCCACTATCTGCAATTGCTTGGTCTTCATCATTCCATTCTACAACAACCCTTTCATTAGAAGGCAACGACCAAACATCATTCACCGTAAGTGACTTTGTGTTCTTTGTGCCTTGGTCATCTAACAAATTATCAAATATGTTAAAAAAAATTAATTTAATGGTATATTTTTATTTATTGACCCAATTGATTGAATAAATGTTGCTAAACTAGGTCATACAATAATCTTGTAAAATGCTTACCAATCACATCAACTGTCTAGGCTCTCTTACGAGCTATAGGTTGCGATTTTTGAATTTCAATGTTTTCATTTGCTTCCACTTCACTATCAAAGTCAGACTCTGGTTCATTACTAAGTATAGGCTGAGAACCAAATGGTGATGCAAGTGAAGGTTGAGAATCAGGCTTAGAAGCATGTGTCGGTTGACTATGAGATTGAGGTGGATGTGTAGGATGAGAATCAAATTGAGATTCAGGTGGAGGTGGCAGATTTAGTTGAGGTGCAGAGTTAGTTTTGTTGGTGGAAAATAACCTCAACTTTAAGGTTCCTGTAAAGCCATGAGAATAATAAAAGTTAAGAATCATATCACATGCAATTAATGTAACTGAATATTGAAAACTAAATTAAAATGTGACGTGAGATATCTTACGAGGTTGACATGTCGGGGAAGGTAATGTTCTACATTGATGTACAAGTGGGGGTGGAGGTTCAATACTAGGTTGTGGATGATGTGCATGCAACAAAGGTGTTGAGTTATTTTTTTTTCAATGTGTTAGGCTTCTTTAAGGTTCCTAACAACCAATAAATATTATAAATAAAATATTAAGGTGTTGTATTTAAATGGAAGTTTTTAAAATATTAATAATTAGTAAGGAAACCTACTTGTGTGAAGTGTGGAGGAAGGGACTGATCATGTAACGGATAAATCCAAAGTTAACCAGCATGGTGATCCAACTATGTTCCGTCAAAAGAAAAGGCAGCTGGCTGGTGAAGCAGCTACTGATTCAGCCACTAAACTGGCGCAGTTTGGTACAGTAGGAGGCTTGGATGATGTGCATGCACAGCATGTTGGTGCAGCAGGAGCTGGACTGTCTCCACCGAATGGAACAGCTCATACTGCACATGCACTGTTTAAAGGGACTTCTAATTCCAATGCTGGACAGCAAGGGCGTGAACTAGCTAGTTGGTGCTTCTCCAGCTCAATCATGCGATGATGCCACAAGTAACCAAGCTGCTGATGTAGCTGTTGTTGCAACCTCAAAGAACGTCCTGGTCAAGGCTAATCAATTAAACATATTATCTCTTTCAAATCAATTATCTTTCCATTCATTTTTCTTTCCGAGTTTACTACTTTTCTTTAACTTTTTTAATTGCTTTCTTTTTTTACCTATCCTTAAATTTTTTTTCAATTTCACCTACCAATCAAATGCTTTCTATGAGTAATTGGAGGACCCACGATTAGTTAAAAGGCATATTTCCCTTTTTGACAGTTGAATCACATGATCTAATGCTTAAAATTTGGAATTGTGTTGGAGAATTTAGACCAATTTAGTAGCTAGGAGCCAAGAGAAAATATTCTGAGAGGACAATATGCAGCATCACCATGTTTTAGTGAAAACAGAATTGAAAACAAAAAGCTTAGCCTTGTCTGTTTATTTGGGCAAGATAAGAAAATGTACATATATAATCGGTTTGTGTGTCTGACACTTTCTAATCATTTTAAGAGCTTATGCCTAGTTTGTGTACTAAATAGAAAGAAAAAAATGATGATACAGAGACTTCTCAAAAACAAGAATATGATCATTGATATATTTTATAGACTTATAGCAGTATATATGCACAAACTAATAAGTTAATTACTAGCCTTTATATACCCTTGACGTATAACAATTTTATGCATGATGGTTGTGGACGTTATGTATAGCTTACCAGCTTCATGTCTTTAGGTTAATCACAATTTTCACAAGTAGTGATAAAGATACTAGAATTTAGTTCTAATTTTACTATATGATCATGAATAGCTGGGCATAGAATTGGGACTGATAATGCAAAACACTTTCACATTCCACTCTCACAAAGTTTGACAATTAACAGTATTGTCACTCAAGTCTCAAATTACTTATCTATAATACGATTAAAACTCAATTACAAGTTCATTTGAGAAAAATCATTTTTTTAAATAACATTAACAAGAAACAGAATTTAATTTGTTTCATTAAAAGTCAAAATACTATTACTTCTTTCCCTGCCATTTTCCAGCAATCAATTTTTAATGAAATCGAAACACTAAAATTAGATATTAGAAACAAATAACTTGTGAAAAATTTTATAAAATCAAATGAACTCCCCTGTTTCTTCCTTGTACATGAATGTGCTCCCCTGTTTGAATACCAAACAAGTAACAGGGCTAAAATATAAATTAGAAGTTGGAGAGTTTGGTTTCTTTTTATAAAATTAGTATAAAAAAAAAGATACATATATTATTGCCACCCAAGTTCACACACTAAGTCTGAAACCATATCGGTAAAGAATCGCTTAGCTAAAAATATAGATTCTTTTTGTTTTCGCATTTTAATGACATTAAAATATTTGAGTATGTCTGAAAAAGAATGATGTAAAAATGGAGCAACAAAGGGCACCAGATATTACCTTCTATGTTGCATCTCCAGCAAAGCAAACAAAGGTACGCTCGTTTGTTGTGCCGCGAATTAGGATCGTTCACCAGCTAGGTCAAAATGGAGCAACAAAAGATTATGAAATTGAAAGTGCAAATAATCCGAAAAAACCCCAAATGAACAACGATGAGGGAATTTTTCCAATGTTAAATCTCAAGAGTGTGAGTAATGCAAGAGATAAATACGGTCTTCAAATGATAAAAGATGAGTGGAAAACACACCTTGGTCGGTGTTATAGAAGTCGCAGGCAGTCGGAGAGCGTCGGAGAGGGAGGCTGATAATCGATTATTTACCCAAATAATCGATTATTCCAGAGACTTCTGGAATTCAAATCCTTCTAGATAATTGATTATTTACAAGATAATCAATTATTTGTCTAGACTTACTTACAATAATCGATTATATTTTAAAATAATCGATTATTTTAGAGAAACTTTGTTTTACTTCTTTAAACATTATAGAACATATCTAATTCATTTTAACTATTAAAAACACTCTTTTATTAACCACATTTCAATGCATTATACACTTATCAATCAAATTACACAATCACATTCAAGTGCAAATTTGCAATCAATTCAAGCAAGACTCATTAATTATTCCAAGTTCGATTCTTAGTTGATTAAACCTTTCTTTTGATAGTGGTTTTGTAAATATATTAGCCAGTTGTTTATTTGTCTCAACAAACTCTACCACACAATCATTCTTTTGAACATGGTCTCTTAAATGTAAGATTGGATTTTTAGTGAGATTTATTGCACTTGTGTTATCACATCTTAAGGGAATATTGTTAAGTTCAGTTCCGTAGTCTTTCAATTGTTGTTTCATCCAGAGGATTTGTGCACAATAGATGTCTGCGGCTATGTACTCAAACTCAATTATGCTTAAAGCAACACATGCTTGCTTTTTGCTATGCCATGAGACAAATGCACTTCCAAGTAGGTGACAAGTACCACTTGTACTCTTCCTATCAAGTCTACACCCAGCATAGTCAGAATCTAAATATCCTATCAAACTTAGTGAGACTCCTTTTGGATACCATAGTCCTACATTTATTATTCCTCTTAGATATTTAAGTATTCTCTTAACAGCTTTCATATGAGACTCTTTTGGATTAGCCTAAAATCTTGCACATGAGCACACAACAAACATTATATCAGGTCTACTAGTTGTGAAATATAAAAGTGATTCAATAATACCTCTGTATTTTGAATTGTCAATAGTTGTCCCTTTCTCATTCAGGTCAAGATTGCATGAGTTTGATATTGATGTTGCAGCCTCCTTACAACCATCCATACCAAACTTTTTCAATAGCTCATTGCGATACTTGTTTTTGACTTATAAAGATACCATCACTCATTTGCTTAATTTGTAATCCCAAGAAAAATCTAAGCTCTCCCACACTACAAAAAAATTGCATTTAGCGACCACAAAAATCGGTCGCCAAATTGCTAAAATCGGTCGCTAAGGTAAATAGCGACCGAATTTAAGTAGTCGCAAAAACCCTAGTCGCAAAGCTATATATATAGCGACCGAAAATTTTGGTTTAGCGACCGAAAATTTCGATCCGAAAATGGTTGCAATGATTTTGGTCACTAATGTGTATGGG